TTCTAGACGTTTCAGCACATTAAACAGTAAACATGTCCTTTAATAGTAACGCATATATCCTCTGGTTAATAACCATATTATTACGCATGCTTCTTTAAAAATAAACTATTAATTTAATTAAGAAATTGAGATTTATTGATATCCGGTGAAGGTTTTAAAGTCACCTTTTCTGCAAATCAAACTAAGTAGATAGGCGCAAATTTAAGATGTGGCAATGTCGCCTTCTCTATCTCAGTTGGTTTTTACAGTACGTAGTCAACCTCCTATTGTTTGATCGGGTTAAAATGCACAATGTGATATCTGTTCTTACTAAATCTATGAGAGATAACATATGAAGAAATAAATTTATGTCAAAAGAAACTAAAGTCTAAGTAAAACATCAGAAACAAAGACAATATTCAGAACAACAGCAATGAAAGTATTAAGAAAATACGCGGAGCCACTCTAAAGAGATAGAATGCGAAACCACGACATCAGAAAGGAATTGGGAGTGCAAAACATAGTGAGGTGGGAAAGATCAAGAAGGCGTCATTGGGAAGACCATGTTGAAAGGATGGACCACGATAGAATAGCAAAATGGACGCGAACACGCCCAGACCACCTGGCAGGCCACTAAAAAGATGGTAGGAAAGTTGGACATTCACTTCACACGAGGCTTAAGTACTGGTTTTATACAAGGATAACTATTGCAAGAAGAAGAAGAGACAAAAGTGCATCGTTTATCCGTTAGAGGGCATCAAACTTCAAAAAAAAAAATAATAATAATAATTATCAAAAAACTTAGGCCGAGCGTGATGGGGACTTAAAGGAGGGCGCGCACTGCATCGGATCGGACCCATATACGTATTACTTTTTACAAATATACTCAGCCTAATCTCCAAAAAGTGAAGCCCAAACAGTGAAAGAACAATATGGAATTCTGCATAAGTCTATTTCACCCGGATATTCATTTAACTGAGCATGCCTCACCTGAAGAAGTTTTCATTGGTCGATGTTTTTAAAGGGAAGTGGTTGACTGACATTTCCCCTAACCTTCAATTTTATTTATATTTTTATTATTTATAACACATTATCATGGAGTTGGAAAAATATCAAAAAATAGTTGGAAACAATAAACTAAACAAAATCACTCTTTTACGCGCACAAATAAAAAGTAATCCAAACAGAACTAAAACAACAATCAATCGGAGTTTGGCGCAATCGCAGTTCAATCCATATCCGGGCGAAATAGACTTATGCAGTTTTAATATGGAGCTGGGTTATGTTGTCTTTTTCTTACGGCACAGAAATTGCACACGGGGTTAAATAGGGAACACTGAGTATATTTGTAAAAAGTAATACGTATATGATCGGACCGACCAGCAAAAGCGACTGCGACCATCGTACATATAGACGGCGCCGGCGTCCACTAAAACATTTCGGCCTGTAGAGGCCAGATTCCTACCTCTACCTATCTACGATAGTCGAGTCACCGCCTTCGCCGTTTCTTTACCTATACGGCCGAATTAAATTCCGGTTTATCAGTGCTGTTCTAATTTTATTCAAAACTTGTAAAAATATAAGGTAGATTAGACACAGTAATTTGTTGTTTTATTTATTCATTACAATATTTATTGTTTTATTATATCATTATAAAAGTAATTTCACCAAAATCTTCTTATTAGTTATTTAATTCGACAATTTAGTATGTACATTATACATTAACTAACACACTTAAACAAAACTATTTCAATTTACTTCTAATGGAGAATAATTTCAACCGGGAGTACCGCCGAGGAAATTCCTTACAGAAAAAGAATCATTAGAATGCCGAAAGAAGCGCCCCTATTAAACGCAATAATTAGCTTAGGAGATTTGCATATCATTAATTAAAGCAATTCCGCCATGAAAGAAAAAACGCTTCAACTTGATTTAAATCCACTTAATTATTGCTAGTCGTTGCCTTAATTTTAGAGACTTATTGAGTTTTTCAAACACAATTTTTTCTCTATTTAAATACTTCATTAGCAATTGAAGAGTGGAAATACCAAAGGGGGTAAGTGCCAAAATTATTTTTTCGAGATAAATGAGAAAAACACAGTAGAACTGAAACTATTTTGGTTCCAATTGACCCATAATTAAGAATCCTGATGATTTCCTCCATTTAGAGGTAAACGTCGAGGGCGTCATCATGTAGCCCGTCCTCAATTATGCCGAAATCGACCCACATTTTTTTTCAATATCAAATCTTTAGTCCCACCCATATCTTGAACTCTTTTCACAATTAATTACACAGAATTACATAGAAAGTAAATATAAGCGCCCGGAATAAACAAATGTGGTTTAAAGATGCCTGGGTTTCCACGGCCTCTGCGACAAATTTCGACAAGTTGAGTGGCATAAGTCAATCTGGTTGGATGGATTGGCTCATGAGCTTCAATAATATGTGATACTAGTACATGTTTACAACATTTTGATCAATTCCATTTATGACTGGAATTTAGACGGAAGTACTCCTCTGAGGAATACTCCTCTGTCGTTAGAATATTATGAAAAGATAGGGCTCTTTGAATTCCATCTACATTCCGAGTTTCAGCGCCCTAGCTCACATAAGGCCCGAGTTACGACGCCCCAAGGTCATTATCCAAGAGCAAAGACAAATTCTAAAAAGATTGAATTATTTTATAACAGTCGAATAGCGTTGTCTTAAGGACTGCTTGATTTTATTAACCATTTGGTTTCGATTCTGTTTTGTAATAAAAGTTGTCATATTAAACTATTTTCTAGTGGTTTTTACAGCGGATCCTATAACGCATTAAATGAAAATTTCTTTTAGTATGTATATAACACTTAATAAAACAATGCTATATGATAGCAAAAATATTATTTTATTAGACTTATACCCACCATGTAAGAGTTCTATAATATTCATATAACTAGCAGTCACAAGATCATATAATAGTTACTTAAACTTGTCTTATTAAAGTTGTATTACGTTGTATGATAGAATGTTTTATTGCGTTAAACTACGGTGCTGTATGCAACACTAGTTTTGCGTAAACTTGGGAAACTATAAGAACTTCTTGTTTATAAAAGACTAGCGTGTACCAGCGACGTCGTTCGCGTCGAATTAAACATTTGTAATGGTGATGATAAAGCAAAACAAGAATTTCCATTAACATACAAACTGGATAAAATTTTCTCACATTTATGTCAGCATGAGAAAAAAAAATATGGCGATAGTATTATATAACTTGGTAATATTTGAGGGGTAGTTTCATCTCGTTGGAATTTGACTTTCGAACAATCCGTTTGCCAAAAATAAGCTTTTTACGTCAAGCAGTTTAAGCAGAATCGTGGTTAAGAAATTACCCAACTTTTTGGAACACCCTGTATGATTTTTTTCAAAATTTCAAAATTTGTAAAAAAAACAAATTAATTATGCTTGTCCAAGCGTTTTCCTGAAAGACTAACCGTTTTTTAAATAACAAATATTGTAATATTTGAGGGGTGGTTTCACCCTCTTGGAACTGGAATTTCGAAAAATCCCTTCTTATCGAACTTCTACATCCTAGAATCAACATGTATGCCAAAATTGAGCTTCTTACGTTGAGTGGTTTGAGCAGGATCGTGATTAATCAGTATGTCAGTCACTTAAGGATTTTATATATTAGTATAGATATGATAAAATTGTGATTAACAAAATAAATTCGTTGTAATATCTGCATTATAAAACTGGTAATGTATAATATAACCCCATTTTAAATTAAATGGTATACCTAGTTATTTATTTTGTTGTTGTTGCAAAAGTAATATCTACGAAACGTATAGTATAATCAATCACAGCTATTATGAATTCTGGACAAAGTTGGAAAAAAGTTAACAAACGCAGTGGTAGTTATAAAAGAGCATGTAAGAAAAAACTCCTCGAAATTACGGCAAATAATCCCGAGAATTCCCTGGGTTCCCAAAGCTCCAATTTGAAAGAAGGTAGGCTGGATACCGTAGAGTATGAAAACCTATTAATGTCTTCATCAGACACAGCAGACAAAACAGTTCTAAAGTGCCTGCAAATTCTGCGTAATGATATATTTGTCCTATACCGTTTTATTTTACAACAAAGTCTTATTTAAGGGATTCATTTATAATAAAATGGTTGGATTATAATTCGCCGTGTTTAGGACAGCATTTTTGTATGGCCTATGGCCGCCATTATATGAAGCAAAATTAAAAACTAGGGCTGTACCGATACCGATACCCAGTAACGGGTATCGGCCGATATTTACTATTTTCCGATACTCGCAGATACCTAGTACTCAGATACCAAAGTATCTGTCAGATACTTTTTTCTTTTTAGAGGAACTATTAACAGTTTCATTGAAAAAAATGATATCTTCTTAATGGCCACAGCCTTAGATCCACGATATAAAGCTGGTTTATTCACTGGTGAAAACGAAAATGAGCAAACCGTAATTCAGAAAATAATAAATGTATTAAAAGATAATGCACCGCTAGCTTTACATGCTTCACAATTACAACAGATGTCTGATTCTGATACGGATACAAATACGAACTTTGATGAAGCCCCAGGAACCTCTGGTTCACTTATTCCCAATTTTAATCATCTATGCCTTTTGCAGGTTTATGTAAAGTTTTAAAACTAAAACAGTGCGTATTAAATATGCTTTACTTTCTTTTTTTTTCGAAACAATCGAAATAAAAATTAAACTTATACACCCTGTATAGTGTATACGAACTTTTTTATTTATTTTTATCTGCAGAATATGCTGCCGAAGTGTCCCGAATTCAATTCGGACCACTCTGTATAATCCAGAATGTAATATAAAAAAACTTCTTAATTTGGACATTTTATTGAAGAAATTGTTTTTTTTTTTTTGGAAAACCACTCATGTAAGAAAATCTAATAAATCAATCAATATACATTTTCAATTTTGTGTTATTTGAAAGTATAATTTAATTTTTAAACTTTATAAAATATAATTCTTGTTTTATTCTTGCAGATATAATCGGCTCGGAAAGTGAAGATAACCTCAGGAATACAATAGGTAAGAATAACTAACTGGTTTCAAGATCAAGTTCAAGCGATTCTTCTTTCGTGTGATTGACTTGCATTAATTAATGTTATGCAAATTTATGCCAGGGTAATTAATGCGTTTAATGGGGGAAGCTTTTTTCGGTATTTTAATGATACATTTTCTGCTTGGTATTTCCTCCGTGATACTCCCGGTTGCAATTATTCTTCATTAGAGATAAGCCGGATTAATTCTAAATAATATGTTAACACTATGTACTATGTGGGCACTAATCTGCCCTCATAGAAAAATTAACTAGCTTTAATTTATTTTGTATTATTAAATAAATTTTAGTCCTTATACCAGGTGGTACATCGTAGTTGGAAACATCGGAAATAATATGCAAATTTTGAACTATCCAAATATTGGTTCCTCTGTTGATTTTACAGCCAAGTCGTAAATAGGCTTTTTAAAGGTCTGCGTATGCTGAATACACATGCCATTTGCAATATGAACAATTTTGAACCGATTTTAACTAATCTAAGAAAAAGCAGTATTTTTAAATTGAAACTGAACAGGTAACAATGCAAAACCATTTCTGTTTTCTCTATAGAGAGTGAATTTATCATTTCTTTCATTCCTGTTTCTTTATAGAGAGCAATTTTCTGTAATTTTTTAAAAATATTTACAGTGAAGAGAAAAAAAAATCAAAAAATATAGTTTGTGCGGAAACCAGTCCTGTTAATTCCTAGAATTCGAGAACCGTTTAATATTAGTGATGTAAACTTTAGTTACTTATATGGACTCGTAACTACTAGTTACTTTTGGTAATAGGACTCGTTACTTTGGACTCGTTACTTTAGTTACACGTTACTTTGGTACTTAGTATCGTTACTTTATAATCGTTTTAATAGATGTATTAATATCTAATACAGTGCGACCTCGATAATCCAGACTAATTAAAACCGCGGTGATCCGGATTAGTAAATAAATAAAAATTAAATAGAACATACATGAAAACATTCAAAAACATTTTTTTTATTAAACTAACTTATTTTGTAAAATAATTTCTAATTTTTTGTTGCTTGTTCTTTTTTTGGTTCATTATAGAGGCCGCTTCCTTTAATCTTTGGAGGACAAGAACTTCAGTCAAAGGAATATCATTTTCTTCAGCCCACTTAATGCACACATTAAAACTTTTAACTGCTTCATCATTCTTAACAACCTTAACAGTCTGGTTTGTATTATTCATCTCGGAACCTTCATTATCACTTTCGCGTTGTTCATCTATACCATCTACGTCCGAGTCTACGTCTTCCAGTGGTAACAAATCCTCATCATTTTCAATCCAATTGGATATTTCCACATCCGTGAGATTTTGTTCAGAGAGAACATTCAGCATATTCGAAACATCTGTAAGAATATAAATTAACAATAAAAAGTATTGAACTCTAAACAATTGTATGTTCCTTACCTTTCACTTCTTCATTCAATGAGATGAGATTGAGTCGCAATTGACTCAAAGGAATCAGATCTTCAGCGTCATATTCAGTGTCCAAGTTGGTGTTTGACACGTGGACCATAATTTTATGCCAGCACTTTTTCAAGACTTCGGGAGAAACTTTTTCCCAAGCATTGTATAGTAGGCAAACAGCCTCCTTTAAATTGATGGTTTTCAGCAATTTAACAACGTTTTCTTCGTTACTAGATAATATATGGGCTAAAAGACTTTTCCGATAAAATAATTTTGTCAGTCTTATTGCATTTTGGTTCATAGGCTGCAAAAGTGCTGTACAATTCGGTGGAAGAAATAATGTCGTAAATTGTCCATCCTCACTAGTCAGCTCTTCTATAGACCCATGGCTAGAGGCATTATTGACGATCAGCAGGGCACGTTCAGGCAAATTAAAGCTTCTCAGATGACTTCTGGCTTGACGAATAAGGAGAAATGAAACCAGTCTAAAAAAATTGCTGTAGTCATCCATGCATTGGCAGATGATTTATATTCTACAGGAAGATTTACGTTTTTAAAAGCCCTTGGATTTTTTACCTTGCCCACCACTAACAGCTTCAATTTTTGTGAACCATCAGCGTTACAACATACCAGAAAAGTAACACGTTCTTTGCTTATTCTTCGACCCGGTGCGGTTTTCTCCTGAGAACGAACCAGCGTTTTCTCAGGCAACATCTTCCAATACAGCGCAGATTCATCTGCGTTGTATATTTGAGTAGGTCCGAGGTTTAATTCTTTTATCTTCTCTGCGAATGCAGTAAGGAAAGGATTGACGGCACTTTGATCATTTGACAGTTTTTCGCCGCATACTTTTAAAGCACGCAGACCATGTCTTTTTCTGAAGTTAGATATACAGCCTCTACTAGCTCTAAAATTGTCGTTCCCATAGGTTTCAGTGTAAAGCTGTCTTGCTTTGGCAGATAAAATTTCATAGGAAATTGGGACGTGCCTTGACCGTTGCGTAAAAAACCAAGCATACAAACAAGTTTCCATTTCTGGATATTCGGCTTTTCGTAGGGTCTTTCTAGCGCCAGGACCAAAATCACATTTGGCGATAAATCTAGAAGTTAGTTACACAATACATGTCTGAAATGATTTATAAAATGAATCATACCTTTTAAATTTCTGTTTGTTTTTTTATATCAGAAATTGTTGACGTCCCTACTCCATATTCATTTGCCAACACTTTTCCACTTTTACCACGAGCTAGTCTTTCTAATACATCGGACTTCTGTTTAATTGTTAGTGTAATATGCTTTCGTTTAGATGTCATTTTAATATGTTTGTAGCCACGTAAAAAAGTGTTGATAACCTTATATACCAAACAACAAACAATTTATTGTAATTACTCTTCGGGCGCGATGCATTGCAAGCAAATCAAGAACGCATACTATTTATGTGAAGCCTAGAAGTTAAACCCGTCCGAATTTAGGAAGTTCGGGGAATCCCCCAGCACCGATTTAGATTTACATAATGTATAATATGTAATTTGAATGAAACTGTCCCCTAAAACGCAGGTCCGGATTACCGAGTGTCATAAAATCCGGATTACAAAGTACACAGTTACACAGTGCAACTGAAGTGCCTGTCCGGATTATTAAATAATCCGGTTTAATGATGATTCGGATTATCAAGGTGGCACTGTAATTAAAATATTAATAATAGTGAACAAGAAACGATGATTCAGTGAAGTCATGGTTGGCTTTGGAAGAAAGTTGCTTTTGACGTAATAGTATAAACGTCAAATTGTTATTAAATCAACATTTTGATAGTCTTTTATCTTTTGATTACTTTTTCAAAATGTCAACAACTTCAACTACTTCAAATAATAAAGGCATTTTAAAAAAGCAATTAAAAGATAAAAAAGGCTGCTAAAACTATCAAAATGTTGATCTAATAACAACTTGACGTTTATACTATTTCGTCAAAAGCAACTTTTTTCCAAAGCCCACCATGACTTCACTGAATCATCTTTTCTTGTTCACTGTTATTAATATCTTAATTGTATTAGATATTAATACATCTGGTATATTATGGTATTCTTGTATTTCGTCGATTTTAAAGTGAACTAACTGTTTCTATCTTATTTTTTTGTTAGAATGGGCATAATCAAGAGGGATACTGATACTGTGTTGGAAAAATAAGTTAATTAAGGGCATATTTTTTGGTATTTATTATAATTTTGCTAATATCTTCGGTTTGAAAGAAGATATCAAGATGCGGTTTTCGCTGACTTTTTAAGCTTTTACTACTCTTTACTATCAGCTAAAATTACATATACTATCGTATTTAACTTTTTTGAAAAAACGCACTGTTTGTTAAATTGTAAGAAAGCGCCCCCTAGCGTCTACGTTCAAAACCTTATTATTATGATTTTTATTGTATAATATAGAGTAAGAAACTCTCTTTTAAACGAGTCCTCGTTTATTGGATTCTGATCATCCAGTCCGATGTTTTTAACATTTAAATAAAGATAGATCTAACCTTCCCCCACCACTTTATTTTGGCAGATAGGGGAAAATGGTTCTAACAAAAAAAATCCAAAATTTACTGAAGATTATGAAGCTATTATTTATAGTACCCATTATCTGGGCAAAATTCTATTTTCTTATTTTTCATAGCAGTTGCGCCCCCTATAGCAGCCATTTTACAAACTTGAAAATAATTTCCAGCAATTTCTCTTAGCCCCTTTAGTTATAAATATTTTTCCCTAAGTCCTACGCCTAATACTTTCCGAGATACAGCCGAGAGCTATTCTTAGTGGGACACCCGGTACATTTAATTTGAGTAAATAATTATTTCACGTTGACTTGATTTTTCTTTCTTTTTTCAATTACCACCAGTGCTAAAAGTAAATGACTTTTACCATCAGTGACATAATGTCACATTTTAGGCACTTACAGCATGCGTTAAAAATTACATTTTTACTGACGTTTGTAGAAAAAACATTTTTTTACTCAGCAATTCATACAAAATAAACTTTAATGTCCTGAAGCACCTTAGTTGATTGCACCTTTTTTCAGTAGTATCTACTTCTATCACGTGCCGCAGTAAATATTTCAAATAGATCAATTCAATTTTATCGGATTCCAAAAGAAAAACTAGCTATGAAACCATTGACATAATATTAAATGGGCACTCTAAAAGGAGATATAACACATAGCGGCAATCGAGCTCGCGGTAGTTCTTCTAGTTGAAACAACAGGGAACGGCTACAGGAAGAGATGATATACAGTAGTATAAAAATAAATTCAAAGAAACCGTAGCTTCATAGCAACCAACAGAAATATTTTCAGTTGCCCCGTATAAGGGAAGTATACGGCATATTTGGGAACGGCTATCGCGTTAGCTTCAATAGGTGTAACATCACGTATTAGGTACTGAAGACTGAAGTCTTTATTATTTTGAGATACATTAAACTATTTAACCTCTTTGCATTTAGTATTAATTAAAATGACAAAGGACGGACTTAGGAGTATACCAACTAAATTTGCAAGGCCCGAAGGAGTTTTATTATATCTGTTAAATTATACTTTATGGCCTGTGTCCCATGAATGTTGTGAAATTTTAAAATAAGTTTTGTTCTTTAATTCGCTTTAACCTAAGTAACTTTATTTTAAGTGGCTTTTCCACAGGAACATTGGTAAATAGACAACTACATCAAAATTCACCTTATATATTAGGTCTATATTATACTTCACGAAGATTGAGAGTTCTGTGGAACCGTCGCAGATACTGGCTTTTGTCATTCCCGAGGATTAACCAATGGATGAGTGCAATGAAACTGCAGCTGGTCAAACATAAGACCGAGGGAGTGCTCATCACTAGTAGAAAAAAGGTTGAAAGCATCAGACTGGAATCACGGCTGATGCTGAATGTTGGAGGCCCGAAACAAATTAGGAGGTCACTGCTGTCGTCAGTAGTCACATCGGTACTGACTTATGGAATTTCTCTTTGGGCTGACGCCCTCAGAATACGAGGAACACGGAAAAGAGTCGCAGCAGTATATAGGCTGAGTGCCCTGAGAGTAGCTAGTGCCTTCCGCACTGTGTCTGAGGATGCGGTGTGCATTATCGCTGGAATACTTCCTATTGGAATTCTAGCCGAAGAAAGGCAAGTCCTTTATCGACGAAGAGGATCATCAGCACTGAGCCCTGATGCACTCAGAAGAGAAGAGCGGCAGCATAGTATACGCCGATGGTAGGTACAGTAGGAGGCCGCAACAAAGGGTAGGTGGACGTGCCGTCTTCTACCTCAGTTGAATGTTTGGCTGAATCAGAAACATGGTGAGGTCAACTACTACCTGACACAGATGATCTCAGGACATGGTTCCTTCCGAGCATATCTTCATCGTTTTAAACTCGATGATTCCCCGGAGTGCCCGTCCTGTCCAGGAGTTCCTGAAGACACGGAGCACGTGTTCGTTGTGTGCCCATGTTTCAACTTAATGCGTAATCATGGAGATTGTCCTCGAACAGGCAATCCAATCAGAGACCCTAATCGATGCGATGCTTTCTTTGAAGGCATCTTGGAACGTGACCAATACTTTTGCAACGAAAGTGCTTCAACACCTGCGTTCTTTAGAGAGGAAACAAGCCAGCAACAAGAACGGTTAGAGGAAGAGAAGCATTGACTTCATTTAATGGAAGGAAGAGCAATAGCTAGAGCCTTTCCCTGCGAAGTAATGCCTAACGGCGCCGGCGGTTTTCGCGGGGACTACAGAGGCCGGAGAAAGAGGAGGGTTTTAGGCCAATCATCTATAAAAAAACTGGCTTTTGTCAAAACCCTGAGACTGTATGATGAGTTAGAACTCAAGAAAGGGGAACACACAATAGATCTGTAAAGTCGCGGTGATTAACCCCCCTCCTAACTCCTAAACATTTTACATTTATACTGCAAAACTGTCTGGTAAGATCAAACTGATGAATGTTCTACAAGACAAATGTATATTCTGTTTTAGTATTCTAATAATAAACTAGTTACAAAGATACATTTTAACTTTTGTTTTGTTGTTACCTACTTCTCATAAGTTAATAAGGTAGTAATTTCCTGTGAATATTATTTTATTTTAAATCACGGAAGTACAATGAAAGAACGTAATAAACTGCAAAATTATATAGTATGCTGGTATTAAATGACCCAGATAAGGTACCATTATATCTATTTTTTTATTAAAGTATTATGTTCCATTAAAAACGATTAGAATGCCCAAGAATATTAGATCTTAGAATAAAAGTTCTATAATTTTGCGATCTTAAATATTGAATGCAGACACAACGCATCTTTTTCTTCAAAAAAACTTGGATATTTTCCACTGTGAACACCACCACAGAAACTGTGATAACACAATAAATGAACAATATGTCTAGCGGAAGATCGTAAATATGTGTGGGTTTCCATTTAAAAGAAATCAAGATGGCGTCGTATCTGTCAAAGTTGACATTTTAAAAAATGAGTTAGAAAATCGGCATCCTCGCAAAAAATGCATGCATTAGAAAATCTTTCTACTAACATTAAATACGAAAGAGAAAATTATAAATTGAGTGAGACACTTCAAATGATGTCCCTGTTCATGCGGGGCCGAGGTCGCCAACGCTCTGTATAGGGCATGGCACTGAAAGAAGAAGAGTACAAACAATGAACGATTCAATTTAAATACAAAATTCAATTTACTTCCACGCATTTAGTTCTCGTGAAACGTCAAGTTTCTTATAGATCAAACGATCTTCGCGATTCCCCCGATTCTAACTGTATCTAGTCAACCGTACCCACTAACTGAATATAATCAATATCGACTCTGATGATTTTAATCTTTTTTGAACGGCCGTCAGTTCCGATTATATGGAGGAAACGGCAGAGAGAACTAAAAACGTATAATTTAAAAAGCGGCAGTCGTTATTTTCAAATTACGAAATGGTCGTCGGAGTGGCATCAGAAGTAGAGGCGCCCGAAAAAGGATTCTCCTTCAAATATTTCAGCTTTTAGTTTGATTAATTTACTGGCATCTCTGGAATACATTAAGAATAAAGGCTTTATGGATTAACACAGCGTTTTAAAATAAGTGCAAAAATATTATAATGATTCAATGATTCCTTGTTAAATTAAAAATCAAGGGCAGTTAGATATAAGAATAAGATAGTAAGATATAAAAATTAGAGTTTTACTTTTTCTAAAAATGACATGCTAAGATTTATGGGAGTATTAAATAGTACTGAGTCAGTTGGTTCGTTGTGAAATATCATTGAAATATTAGTATTTTAATAAAACACGCTTTTAGATGTATGTATCAAATTTAATGAGAGTAACTTTATCTCTACATATGTATATGTTTCGGTTTGTTAGGCCTTTTTCAGGAGATTCTTAAAACTAACCGTCTAACTACACTGTAACGATATACCAAGATCGGCATTTCTGGCCTTGTGTGCTGATTTTCATGTCAATATATTACAGGATCTGTGGTAGTGGGTTTTCTCACTTTTCTGTTCAATTGTAATCTATTAGTAATCTATTAGACTATTTTGTAATTCTGGATTGTATTGGAGTATTACCATTATGAAAACACAACTGTTTATTAGTTCGTCTTACCTGACTAGTATTTATTAGTAGGAATTTTTAAGTGAATAGACAGTTTTTGCAAATAATGCAGTAAATTTATTTTCAAGCATTTTTTTTTAATTTACTCAACGGCTTAAGTTAGATATAGAATACATTTAGAAAATTAGTTTAGAATATTACGTAGGTATAATTTAATAATATAATAAAATTGGTATGGCATGGAATTTCAAAACCAAAAATTTGCATTACTAATTACTATTGGAAAAACGCTGTTAAACAGACAATAATTTTGAATCTGCCAATTGTCAATATAGTCTGTCCAACGACGTTAAAATTTCGACGGACGTCATCCAAAAAATGACAGAAAATACGATTTACCTGTGAATTAATATGGCAGACACAACTGTAATTGTCAGGGATCTCCTTCTCTTGGTCAGATTATATTCACTGTCTATATAAAATTAATGTTGATTGATTTAGCTATCAAACGTACAGCCAAAAACCGTTTGACCTATATGAAAGTAATTTTGCCCGAAGTCTCTTTGAAGTAAGTGAGCCCTAAGAAACTATGCATAGGGGATCTTCCTTATGGGAATAACGTATGGCGCAATAGTTTTTTGGCGAAGCTTTAGAAGCATACTCATTTGCACAGAATTTTCTTTAGTGAAACAATTGAACACTTAGAAGAAGTGATTTTAAGAAATGCATTACTTAAAGGTGTCACAGTTTATATGAAACATACAAATTTGCACCAATGTTCCTTAAGTGAAAGTAGTTGACTACTAAGAAGATATTCTAAAAATCTATCCCTTAAAAGTGAAATTAAAAATGAAAGTTTGAATACAGTTGTAACTGTTGCTGTAGAAGCATAAAAATTTGCTCATGTTCCATAAGCGACATAATTATTGAAACTGAAAGAATTTCGGACATTCATTGTCTTTGTATTTTTTGTTCATTGTTAGAAGTATCATCAGTCATTGTCAGAAGTATCACTGACCGTTATCAAGTGTGAACTAATCTAAATGCTAAAATTTCTGAGCCTATATACTAGAGCCGAACGCTCACCGAGTGAATTAGTTGGGTGCAGTCAAGCATGAGGTTGTCCACTAAGAATACCTGCACTGGAGCGTTTAATGAGTGGTTACCATATTGTTGAAATTTCAATACTTGGATTACTAAAGATTTTATTTTTGTTAGATATAAATATGGCCTCTTTAAATTTGCGCTGTTTCCAATGGAGTTCTTTGTGGACAACCCGGGCTTCCGACCATTTTATGTATAAAATCCTTAAGCGGCCCATACATTATCAAACAAATTGCGCAACACAGGCTGTTGCGCAACGAGTTGCCTATGTATGGTAACGTTTGATGCGTTGCGCAATTGTTTGATAAGTTTAAAGAATGTTTGAATTCTTTTGTGCAACAGGCGTTTGCGCAGCGCGTTGTGTATGTGTGTGTTATGCTTCGTTGTGCAATATTTTAGTTTTTTCATCCAAATTCTTTGTTTTCTTTTTTGTTTTAGGTATCATCGACATCATCTAGGGTATCTACGATAATAATTGACGCAATGGCAATTGAGGACGTATGATTGTTTCTCAAACAATGCACAACTTTTAATAAAAAGTTTGATCAAAATTTTACTAAGTGCATGGGTGATGCAGTTGTGCAACGGAACGTTGCGCATCGCTTTTTTGCGCAACTTGTTTGATAGTGTATGGACCGCTGAATCAGTTGTGCAACGCAACGTTTCGCATCGCTTTGTTGCGCAATTTGTTTGATAATGTATGGGCCGCTTATGGTAACGTTTGATGCGTTGCGCAATTGTTTGATAAGTTTCAAGAATGTTTGAATTCTTTAGTGCAACAGGCGTTTGCGCAGCGCGTTGTGTATGCGTGTGTGTTGTGTTTCGTTGTGCAATATTTTAGTTCTTTCATCTAAATTCTTTGTTTTCTTTTTTGTTTTTGGTATCATTGACATCATCTAGGGTATATACGATAATAGTTGACGTAATGGCAATTGAGGACATGATTGTTTCTCAAACAATGCACAACTTTTAATAAAAAGTTTGACCAAAATTTTGGTAAGTGCATGGGTGATGCAGTCGTGCAACGGAATGTTGCGCATCGCTTTGTTGCGCAACTTGTTTGATAGTGTATGGATCGCTGAATCAGTTGTGCAACGCAACGTTGCGCATCGCTTTGTTGCGCTATTTTTTTGATAATGTATGGGCCGCTTTAGCAGCTCAGGTTGTCCACAAAGTACCCCATTGAAAAAAGCGCAAATTAAAGAGGCCGTGTTCATATCTAACAATAATAAAATCTTTAGCAATCCAAGTATGGAAATTTCAACAATATAGCAACCACTCATTAAATGCTCCAGTGCAGGTATTCTTAGTTGAAAGCCTCATGCTTGACTGCGCCAACTAATTCACGGGTGAGTTCAATACTGAAAGTATCAATACTGAATAATTGTCTACCACATTCAAAGTGACGTAATTATGCTTTAGAAGCTTTTTTTGGATATAATTCCTCTAAGAGGGTGAAAGGTTTGCAATATATAATTTTATTTACTTCTGAATAACTTATTTTTGGAACAAAATAAAACACTAATTCACCATAATACACCAAAACACTTTACTTTTTAAGTGGAT